TTCCCTTCCCTTTTACAGTAGGAAGAGAGATCCAAACAAACAAAAATCAGATTTGACTGGAATTTCAGGAATTAAATCTGCACCTAGTACCAACCTGCTCAGAGCTCTGAGCAGCATCACCACCCCTGATGTGGTCACACCTGGTCTGGGAAAAGGCTGATAAAAGAACCAGAGAACGAAGACCAAATCTGCATCAAAGGCAAAGTGATCAATAACAAATAGGAGATTGAAGTGAGAGGGGAAATTAAGTTTCTTCATTCAATGACTGAATCTTTTAATTTCACGGAATTTGCTTCTTATGCATACAGGAGAGGTTAAGCAAACAGAGATTTCATTTCTGTAGCCATCTGATGGCAGGCAAATGTTGGTGATCTTCTGAGCCTGTGTCCCTGTGTGGTCAGCAGAGAGGAAAAAATCCTCTAAGGATGGAATTCATGTGATTTTTCCAGATGTCCCATTGTTTCTGAAACTGTCCCTTCCACCAAACAGGTTTGAGGAGGATGCCCAGGACATGTACTACAGTCCATGGTCTTTTTAGAACACAGGGTAAGGGGCAATGCCAGTGTGCTCTAGAGGATTTATTTGGGGCTTTCTCTAGACCAAAGCCATGTCAAATTAGGAACATCCTGGAGGTTTCACTGCCTGGGCTCACGGCCACAGGAGGCTCAGGGAAACAGGGGCTGAGTCCTTTCCAGGCTGTAACCCTGGAGCCAGAGCTGCAGGGAGGACTCCGAGAGGCCTCGGGCAGGGCTGCTCCCCCTTCTCCTGTGGGCACCCTGAGCCTGGTCCCCACCTGAGCTCCAGCTGTGTCTCAGCCAGCCCTGCACCTGCCCAGGGCCCCTGCTGATCTGGACTGGGCCCACAGAATGACTTCCCCAGCTGGACCTCAGACTTTCCTCATCACCATGGACTTGTCTGTGGGTCCTCCAGAACCCAGGGTTGAGGCTGTGAGGCTCCCACTGGCCTGGTCCCTCAGCGACTCTGATTGGGGATTTCTGATTTCCCAAGGACATCTCTGATGGCATTCAGCCCCTCTGATATAAACCAGGATCTTGGCCTGGCCCTGGCCAGCTCTGCCCATTGCTATCAGAGGATGGATGTGGGACCCAGATTCAGTCAAAGAAAGAAACTGAGAGTTTCTAGCCAGGCAGACACCTGGGAAAGAGCTGGAGAGAATGTAAATAATTCTTTATCTCTCTTGTTGTTCATAGTGTTTATAGTTAAGTTCTATCACTGTGCATCAAGCATTGTACACCAATGGTTTTAGTTGTTTCAACTTCAGAACCAATGGATTTGGTCCTTGCGAAGCTCTGTATAAAAGAGCAGTGCATTTTGAATAAATCAGAGTTTTTAGTATTACAGCCTCCTGGGTCAGAGTTTCTTCATTCCTGTCCTGCCTCGACAGCGACAGATGGAGGGGAAACAAAAAACAAAGAGAAAAAGAATCCAGATGGAACCAGCCCACATGCAGGGACCCAGGGGCTCTCCAGAGGTCTCTGATGGGATATGCAGTCAACAGACACCCCCTTCCTCTTCCTGTGCACTGTGGGTGCTCTGAACAAGCCCAGATCTCTCCATCTTCTTGAGAAGATTGTGACAAAAATGCAGAGAATGTGTCATGAGCCCCTCACCAAGCCACAGTCTGGGGGTTGTGAGAACAAAAGCAGTAAATGACAGGGCCACAGGCAGGCTGAGGTTTCCTGTTTCAGCTCCACACGACATATATAGAGGTTGCCATTCTGTACCTGTCTCCTGCCTGGCCACAGCTGCTGGTTTGGCTCATCAGGACAGTGGTGGGAGATGCTGCTTGTCCTTCTGCTCGCTTTTGTCCTTCTGCCCTGTGCTGGGGCTGGTGAGTACACAGAGATGGGACAGGCAAGAACACGCAAGGGCACAGATGGACACAGAGTAGTCAGTCTCAGGCAAGGCTCCTGCCTTGCCTTCTCTCCTATCTCTACTCTCCTACTTTCATCTCTCCTCTCATCTCCCAGCTCAGAGAGTGCCTGCAACCAGTGGGACATTAGAGGCACTAGAGCTGTGCCTTTGATGGCATCTGAGCCATCCAGAGCCAGGGCTGGTCAGGCCCCAGACAGTGCTGCTTGTCTTTCTCTCCTTTGTGCACCAGTGGTGCCTTGGACAGCCCCAGGAAGGAGAGCTGTGGTATCACTGGCACATGGCATTAGAGGATGACCCTCTTCCTTCATGCAGCCCCAAACTTGACAAGAAATAGCAGCACATGTGATATTAACATTTGCCATCTCTCTTCCAGGAAGGATCATTGGCGGACGGGAAGTTAGGCCCCACTCCCGACCCTACATGGCTTATTTAGAAATTCAAGCCGGCACAAAATGTAGTTCCTGTGGAGGGTTCCTGATTCGCCCAGATGCAGTGCTCTCAGCAGCTCACTGTCTGCATAAAAAAGGGTAAGACTCTATGGTTCTTGCACAGCTGCTTTTTTCCAGTCTCACATAGTCCCTGAGACAATACCCCGTGTCTCCTCAGGCAGAGCAGGGATCTCTGGAGATGAGCTGTCTTCCGTGAGTTGCAGGAATTGTCTGCCAGGGGCTGAGTGGCCTTGGGACAGGAATGCTCATGGTGGTCTCCAGGGTCATGGTTCCTCCCATGGCTTGGAGCTGCTGCTGGAGAAGGGGCCCAGTGTCTCCCCTGCCCTGCTTCCCTTTGTGCTCAGTGTGGGGCAGCTCCACCTGTGCCAGGGTGGGGTGAGGGTCCTCAGCTGGGCTGTGAAGGAGCCCAGGTTACACAGGACAGGGTGCTGAGAGCTGCTCGGGGGGGTTTATCAACCACCAGCTCCTCCATCCACCTGCCCTGGGGGCTGTGCTGCTGTGGCCAATGCAGCTGGATGTGTTGGTGTTTCCTGCAGGGCACTGAGTGTCACTGTGATTCTGGGAGCCCACAACATCTCTGCCCAAGAACAGAGCCAGCAGAGGATCCGTGTTAGACAATGGGTCATCCATCCCAAATATTCCCATGTTGGTTTCAAAAATGACATTGTGCTGCTGAAGGTATGGCCCAACATATCCTTCCTGCCCGAGGGATCTCCCCCTGCTCTCCTCCCCAGGCTGAACTTGCTCTGAATCCTTTGCTGGCTCTAACCCCGTGTTCTCTCTGCCTGACAGCTGAAGAAGAAGGCCAAGATCAATAAGAATGTGCAATATATCTCCTTTGCCAGCAGAAACCAACATGTGGGAGTAGGAGCTGAATGTTTGGTGTCTGGCTGGGGCTTGACTGACACAGGGAGCAAGAGTGATGTGATGATGGAGGTGAAACTGAAGGTGCAAAAGGAGGAAATATGTCAGCATATTTTCGATAACTACCAGCGTCAGTCTATGATCTGTGTTGGTGATGAATACAGTAAAAAATCAGCTTCCTATGTAAGTGTTGTTTTGGGCTTGGGAGGAGGTTGGGACTGGACAGGCAACTTGGTTCTCAGGTGAAAGTAAAAGGACACCAGAACAAACCAGGAGCTTCAGAATGATGAGCTGAGGGTCCTCACAGAAGCTCTGGAGCTGACGTGCCCCCTCAATTGGAGTGCATTTTCCTAACTATCAGCAACATTTGCTTTTTTACTTACTTGGGGATGTTCTATCCAGCTGAACAGTGCTTCAGTGTGTAAATTCCTTGTGATATCCTTGCTAGGATGGCTTAGATATTTCCCCATGTCTAAAGTAGATATACTTTTTTTTTGAGTTTTTGAATCTCAAAGAGTCTCCAAGCCTGAATTTTTTCATGGGTGGGCTTAGAGTGAGGCAGCTACAAACCCTGAGAGCTGGGTCTGGAGGGAGGGAGGTGGTTGAAAGAGGGCATTCTTCACATGGAGGGAAGAGGAAACTTGCTTATTAAGGCAGGGAGGTCTGTGCTGTGGCGTGTCTGACTCCTCTCACTCCTTTCATGACACAGGGTGATTCTGGTGGCCCATTAGTCTGCAATAACATGGCTCATGGCATTGTTTCTCACGGATGTAAACGCCGCCTCTTCCCTAATGTATTCACCAGAATCTCGTACTTGGAGCCCTGGATACATAAGCAGCTGAGGAGCTTTGCACTCCAAGAGCTGCCTGGATCTCCATCCTCTGACTAAAATGCTCAGTGCCCTTCTCCACACCTGCTGGTGCTCAGAAGCTCCCAGGGGCAGCTGAACTGGAGTCAGAGAAGCCCCTGTGTTGCAGGCACAGGCTTTTGCACAGAGAGTCTCCATGGCAAGGTACAAATGCAGGTCCCCAGAAGACACAGCTTCCCATTGCTCCCTTCCTCCCACTGCTGCTCCAGCTCTGCTTCTGGCCATCAATAAAAGCATGTTCAAACTCACTTGTGTCCGCAGCCTTCTTGGGAGCTGGGTGCAAACCCTGAGTGTGAGAAGAAGGAGGTGACACTCTGGGAGAACCCGAGCATGGGTGGGACATGCAGGACAGGTCTCAGTCCCCAAATGCTGCAAGTGCTCCCCGTGTCTCCATCAGCCCCTTGCAGTCCAGGCAGCAGGTACAGCCTGTACAGAACATTTACCCAGCCTGTCAGAAACAGAGGCATCTCCACATGTGAGAGGAGATCAGGTGGGTTTCTAGTACCAACCTGAAACCCTCTCAGGATGCTTGGACAGACTAAGGACCAGCCAGCCTGTTTGCAACCTGTCTCCCCTTCAATCTCCTTGAACCCCAGATGAAGCATTTTCTTTACACCTGTAAAATGCCTGTGGGTTGAACTGGAAACTTTCTCCCACTGGATCAGCTGATCAGACCTGACTGGGCCGGGAGGTGCCCTTGTGGTGTGGTATGGGATAGAAAATGTCAAATATGGCTAAGGCAAAAGCAATATTGCAGAGACAAGCCTGATCACTTGTGAGAAAAAGAGTTGCATTTCTTTCAGGATTTTTTTTCCCTGATCATTTATCTAAGAAGGCATAGAATGTACCCTCAGCAAGTTTGCTGATGATGCAAAACTGGTGGGAATGGGTGATACACCAGAAGGCTGTTCTGTCTTTCAGTGGGACCTTGACAGGCTGGAGAGTTGGGCAGAGAGAAATCTAAAGAGGTTCAACAAGGACAAGTGTAGGGTCCTGCACTGGGGGAGGAATAACCCCAGGTACCAGGCTGGGGGCTGGCCTACCAGAGAGCAGCTCTGCAGAGAAGGACCTGGGGGTTTTGGTGGGTGACAGATTTCCCATGAGCTGGCAGTGTGCCCCTGGGGCCACGAGGCCCAAAAGGATCCTCAGGTGCATCAGGAAGAGTGTGGCCAGAGGGTCCAGGAGGGAATTGTGCCCCTCTACTCAGCCCTGGTGAGGCACAGCTGGGGTGCTGTGTCCAGGTCTGGTCTCTCAGAACAAGAAAGAAAAGGAGCTACTGGAGAGGGTCCAGCAGAGGCCCCAGAATGATTAATGGAGCATCTCTGATGAGGAAAGAGTGTGGGAGCTGGGCCTGTTCAGTCTAGGAAGGGAAGAATGAGAAGGAATCTCATAAATGCATATAAATATCTCAGGGTTGGGTGTCAAGAGGTTGGGCACATGGCCAGAAGGGACCAAGGGATGCCCACACTCTGGCACATGCCCATTCCACACATCCAGTCCTGTACCACATTGGCTTTGATCTGCCACCCCATACAATCCCTTTCCACCCAAATTGCACCCCATAATACTCTCTCTAGGTGCAGCACTTTCAACTCTGTCATGTAGCCAATGTGTGCCATGTGGCCTTAGGATTTTAGTTTTATATTTTTCAAATCCTGTATTGCATAGTGCATAACTCTAAACTCCATATAGAGTGTTAACTGTCTTCACATTTTGGGCAGACAAAACAATCCCTCCAGGCCTGAAACTCAAGGACACCCTACAACCTCAGGCCTCAAAAAGTATAAACAAAAGTGAGTTTGGGGAGCAAACTGGGGGTAAATGACTTAATTACCTGAAACTGTAATTGGAGGATTAAACCCTGATATGTAAATAGACCAAAGTTATAATTGTCTGAAAAATCTTGTGACCTTTGTCCACCTTGGGTGTAGCCTCTGGGTGGCTTTGACTGCCCAAGGTGTGTCTACTGAAGGCCTTTCATAAACACTCACTTTATTCTCTTAACCTCGTCTAGCCTCTGTTCCAGGCAGCCACTCCAAGGCATCTGAGCACAGTTCGAGGCAGTCACTGAAGCTATGTGAGCAGGAGAGGAGGAGTCAGCAGCTTCAGGGGCCATGTGGAAGATGAACAGGGTGTCCCAGGGCACATTCCTGTGTTCCTCTCCAGGTGCTCCATGTCCACAAGGATTCTGAGGCTGAGCCAGAACCAACAAGGTCTGGCACAGTGTCAGATGATGAGGGACTAACCAGGCAAGAACCACGGAGCTGTGTGGAGGCCCTTGAGCCTACCAGGGCCATTCCTGAGTACACCATAGACTCCGGGCACTCCCAGGTTAGGGTGAGAAGAAAGGAATGATGGGAGCAGTTATGCAGATTAAGTTATTCCATATAAGGTTATTCCATATAAGATTATGTTATGAACCCTGCTTTCTGATTGGTTAGTCTTGTGTTCTATATAAGGTATGGCTTCTCTTTCTCGTTGTTCATTGGTCCCCTGCCCTCTATGTATGTTTGTGTCTGTTTCACTTCATTGTCTTCTGGAGTAGCTCCCTACAGGGTGCAGGGAGTTAAGATTTTGTTGTGCATTTATTGTTAGTGTGCCTTTATTTTTCCTTTATTAAACTTTGGTTTTTGGCACTCCAGGCACATCAATTATTTTATCCACTCCACACTCCCAGCTGACCCAGTCCCGGGGTTGCGCTCGCCAGTGGACGCGGGACGCAGCAGAGGTGCCTGCCTAGGTAAAGGCGTGAGAAATTAGGAAAATCAAAAGTATTCTTTCACGGGTTAAAGTGTCAGCTGCATGATAGCAAGAGCCTGAAATGAGAGATGTGGGACTTCAGGCAGCTCTTCAAAATGCAGTTTATTGTATCCAAGATGTTACAGCAGTCCAGGGTCATGGGTGACAGAGCCTGTGCCTACAGCTGTCAGACCCAGCTGCAGACAAGCCTGAAGCCTTTAATTTTGGTTAACATTGCATTATATACTTTTCTTTGCTTTGCATCTTAATACATAACAACCAACAAACACCTTTACTTTTACCTATAGCCTATCATAACTACTATAATTACCATATTATGGTTAATACTATCCAGTCACACTAGTTAGTATATTACATCTGTTTTTCAATTTTCTTGCAGTGGAAAATTCTTAGACCTTTTCTCTACTCGCCACATGTCTTGTTTGCCTGTGGTATCATTCTGCTTGGTAAAAAACACCTTTTTGTTTGTGGTCAGCTTATCCTTTGTTCTATGTCATAAAATCTCTTTCCAACTCAACATTACCTTTGCTCAGCAAACCTCAATTTACACATCTATTATTCTTCTATATCAAAACTTGCTTCCATCTCTATTTCATTCTCAGGTTCTACATTCAGAGCGCTTTCTGCCAAACATGCATATCTGTTAAACTTTCTTGTCAAACTTTTATCCTTCCCAACATGTGACAATGTAATTTTCCTTTCCATCTCACTGTGGTCCTACAGATTTGGGCAGAGCTCAAATACAAATCCCTGCTTCACCATGCTCTCTCCCAAAACCAGCATGGGAATATTTGCTCTGGCACTTGGAGCACTCCCCTCTCCTTCGGTGATTTGCTGTTCACAGGATTGTTTCTCACACTGTGTTTTGCCTCACTCCTCACTGCCATGCAGCATTTTGACCTTTTACAAATATTTTTTTTTTGGAGACACACCACCAGCTTCATTGATTGGCTTAACCCCGACCTGAGGTGGGTCTATAGTCAAGCCCTGTGGAACTGTGTCTGGTGTCAGAGCAGCATGAAGGCAGCCCCATGTCTGTTCTCACAGAGGCTACCATGCTAAGCATCACATCCCTGCTCACCACCACACCCCTGCTCACCACCACATCCCTGCTCACCACCACACCCCTGCTCACCACCACTTCCCTTTCCTGCTCTGGTGGTATCACCCAAACTTTGTACCTGCAACCTGTGTAGCCTTGTCCACCCTGAAGATATTATCTGCAAACCACTGATCATGGACAGGAAATCCTGCATGCAGATGGTCACCAGACCATGAACTGGAGCTGTTTTCTACTCTTCTGCACACTGATACTGCCCTAGAGTCACACAAAATGGTCGAGGTGGGAAGGGACCTTCAGCTGTTGTGTGGTCCAATGCCCCAGCTCAAGCATGGCCACCTACAGCACCAATTGCTGAGGACCAGTTCCAGGTGTTTTTGGAACATCTCCAAGCATGGAGGCACCACAACCTCCCTGGCTAACCTGTTCCAGTGCTTGGTCACCTTCACAGATAAATGTGTTTGCTGATGTTCAGACAGAGCCTCTCATGTTTCAGTTTGTGCCCATTGGCTCTTGTCCTGTCACTGCATGCCACTGTGAAAAGAACGTGTATGTCTCCCACTTATATCCTACCTTCAGAGACTTACATCCATGGATAATATCCCACCACAACCTGTTCTTTCCAGGGTAAAAACTCACAGCTGCACCCAGCATTCCCCATAGGAGAGATGTTCCAGTCCCTCCATCATCTCCAGGCCACTTTGTTGAACTCTCCCCAGCACACCTGGGGCTCTCTTTTACTGGGAGCTCAGAACTGCCCACAGTACTCTGGGTGCCACCTCACTAGTACTGAGTAGAGGGGAAGGATCACCTCCCTCAAGGTACTGGAATCCCTCATAGAATGCTAGAATAATCTGGGTAATCAGGGATCATCTAATTCAACCCCTGTGCAATGAGCAGGGACACCTTCTGGTAGACCAAGTTACTCAGAGCCCCATCCAACCTGACCTTGAATGTTTCCAGGGATGGGGCACCTAAAGCTCTCTGGGCAGCCCATTCAATTGTTGTGACACCCTCATCATAAAAAAATTCTTTCTTATATCTACTTTGATAATTAAATGCTAATGTTATTCCTTATATCTATTCTAAAAACTAAGTGGCTTATCTATCGTCTTTTAATTTAAAACTATTAGCCTTGTATTATTGCCACAGGCCCCAGTATAGACATCTGAGTGACACATCATGATCTCATGGTAGATAG